GGGATTGCAATTTTGAAGACCAAGCATTGTAATGCTTGGCCTTGGAGTGGTACATGAAAGAAATGTTGAATGCAGTCAACTAATCTTTCACAGTACAAATCAAATGAGAGGGGTGTACCTTTTGGCTCATGTGTTGTTGTGGTCTGTTGTTGGTGTTGTTGAAGTCATTGGGGGCTTTGCACTCAGCCCATGGTTGTGTTGAGAATAAAAGAAACTGCAACATCCACCTTTCTGCTTTTATTTGGTTCATCAACACTTGTTGACAGGGAACTGTGTCCATGTCATGCCATGTCAGTCCAAAAAGTGGCCACCCGCCCCTGTGCAGGCCATCAATATTTCGCTGATATTTGGCAAACGGAAGAATCTCTGGTATGCGCCGGAACAGCGCTCCCCTAGCGCCGAAAACTCGGATCCGGACATTTCAGCCTTCGCGCGAAATTTCACACCCGACAATCCAACCGATTTTTCAATCTCCCAACTTTTAATATTTCCGCCAAGCACAGTGCCAGCACTGCAATGAAATGAAACCTGTTTCCAAAACAGCTTCTGGCAGGATTATTACCATTTTCTAAGGGATATCTCTCATTATGATGGTATTTTAATCTGCCATTTCTCAAGATACTCCCAATTTTGTCTTGCTATTTTTAAATTAAAACCAGTTTTGTGTTGTCAAAACCATTTATGTGGGCTTAAACTCACAAACAAAATCACTTTTCAAAATGACTGGACCTCTCATTTCAAATGACAAGATCCTGACCTTCATCTCAAAGTGCCTCTCCAGCTTCCTCCCCTGGCAGACCACCTTCATCAAAGGGAGATCAGTCTACAATGCCATCCACCACCTCTCTACCATCCTCTCATCCAACTGCACCACCCAGGGTGTACTACTCAACTTCAAGAAAGCCTACAACCACATCTCCCACTCCTGGCTGGCTACAGTCCTCAACCACCTCAACTTCCCACCATCCCTCACCTCCCTCATCACAAACCTCCACACCTCAGCCTCAGCCCAGCTCATTGTCAACTCCTGCCTCTCCACCCCCTTCAACATGAGGTGTGGTGTCTGTCAAGGAGACGCCCCTTGCCCCCACTCTCTTCTCCTTCACCCTCAAGCCCCTCCTCCAATACTTCAGCAGCAAAGTGACCCTCCTATTCCAGGCACATGCCAACAACTTCACACTCCTCCCCCCATCCCAATATGCCCTCAACCATGCCTGCCTCACCATTGCACTCTACAAAGAAGCCTCAACTGCTCAAAGCTTACCTGGCATAAAACCCCTGGCTCTTTCAAGGTGCCCTCACACCCTCCAACTTCAACCTCCCTCCAGACCCATTGCCCCTTACTCAGTGCAAACTCAGAGTAACTAACAATCCTTCTGCCAACTGGCCCCACCCCTCACACCAATTCTTGTATCGAGCACAGAAGTTAAAAAGTATGTCAATAGAATTAATCTTGAATTGCCCTAAAAGATAGATTTAATATTGCTGCTTGCCCTCTGCCGGGTTTGAACCAGCGACCTCACGATCTTCAGTCGTGCGCTCTACCAGCTGAGCTAAGAGGGCGGATGATAACAACAGGCGTCTAGTTTGTGAACCACAAAGTGCATGTACAATGGGTTTCCTGCCAATTGAGCAACCAAATTGCAAAAGATACCAAAAGCCAAGGGACCACCAGCAAGAATGCTGAGACAGCCAACCCAAAAAAAGAAGAGACTGAAAGCTGAAAACATGCACCAAGGTATGTAATGCTGGTTTCTCCCTGAGACTGCTTTTAACTCATGAGTTTTGGAAACCCTTTTTCTGGGGAGGCTAGACTATTGGTAAAAGCAAAGGCTAAAAAATCTTCTGCTCCTTTATTCATCTTGGGGTCCCAAGAGGTAAGCAGCAAGCACCAAAAGAAGGAGGACAAGAAAGTAGCAAAGTTTGGGGCAGAAAACGTGTAAAAGGCATGAAATATCAGTGATAGGCCTGTGCCACCTGGTGTGGGGGGGAGAAGAAAAAGGAATGGTCCGGCTGCCCGGACTCGAACCAGGAACCGATAGATGACTACCGAGGTGATCAATCAAGACTACAGTCTACCGCGCTACCAATTGCGCCACAGCCGGTTTCGTGTTACATCTCCTCCTCCTCTTGTTTGGCACAAGTGTGAGCAGCGGGGGTGTGACACTTTGTTTTTTCAAGCGCTGTGGTTGGAAGTGTGGGAC